GCATTCGATATTTGTGAAAGTATAAACTAACACCGTTTGTTTCGTCATCGCTTGGTTACTCCTCCCAATTTTGTAATTACCATGCCTTAACAAATACAATGACCTGCATCAGAAGTGAGAAATCCGTATACTTTTGACACATCATATTGTTTAATCAACGGATCAACATCATAGCACACTGGTGTAACCCATAAGTGCTCCGTTTTTCTTCTAACTCAAGTCCGAGTCTGAAGGTTCTTAGCGCAGTGCACGAACTATGTATACCAGCGAGTATCCTGAAATACTTTGGGTAGATTTTTAACTCCAAATTTTGCCCAGGCAGCGTCGTTAGGCTACTCTTTTCGATTTCCAACTGTCAAGGAATAATTTACGTGCGCAATAATACACACGGGCGTCCAGAGACCAGGGGAAATTACTAGAAGTCCATGTGAAAAAATCCCAGCCCTCACCGGGGCTTGAACCCGGGACCTCAAGCCTCGAGAAATTTTCATGAGAATGTAGAAACTGGCGTACATCCATGGCAACAGATAAGTTGGAAAGGGGGAGAGACGCTGAGCCAAAGAGAGAAGATGTTAGACAGTTTCGCAACATGGCTTAGAGAAAAATGTATCTTGGAATTGAATGGAAATGGAAGAGAGAGGGGGCTGTTGGCTGACAGAATGACTGAATGCACATGGCTTCGACTAGAAGAAGAATTACCACCAACTCAAGTTCACGTCGACCCAGGCTTAAAACTAAATCCTCTTCCTGTCCATGATGACACATAAGACATTCACAAATGAACTCCATTCCTGCCGGTTAGCTGCCTTTCTGCATGCGCTGTCCCATGTCATTTTACATTTCTCTGTTCTTTTTTCTACTGTCTTTCTCCAGGTTACCCCTTAGGTTGTCCACGTCTTGATTCCGTGTGGTCCATTGAAGAGTTGTCCTTGCCAAAGTGTCCTGGGGCATTGTGCAAACATGTCCAAGCCATCTTCATCATATATATATATATATATATATATATATATATATATATATATATATATATATATATATATATATATATATATATATATATACACACACATACATATATGGGTGTGATAAGTGTAAAACAAAGACATATCCTTGAATATAAAGACAATGGTTATGCCAAAGAAAAGAATACCACCACATTGTGATAATGACGAATGTGAAATGTTGTATTAAGAAGGTACATTACAGCACTCGGGAACCCCTATAAACATTCTGTACCCATCTTCAGCAGCAAGGAAAGAGTTCCAATGCCGATGGTACCTGTACCTTCTGATTATATGTCAGTCTCGCCTCTCCCTTAAACGTTAAGCGTCCACCAGAACCCCTTGTAAGTCCCCGCAGCTCCTTTCTTCTCAGACCTAATAATCTATTTGTGTTTCCGTGATGTTCATTCGCTCAGAAAGGGTCCTCACAAGATATAGCTTGTCGTTCAGTTTTTTTTTAACTCAGAATAGAAGGTCAAAACTTATTCCACGTCGATAAAAACAAAATCAAACACAAAAATCATAACATCAGACGGAAGAAGTGTGTCAGAAGAGCAGAATAGGTCAGGTTAAGGATGCATTTCACAGAATGAAGAACATCATGTGCAACAGGTCCCTCTCTTTGGATGTTTGAAAGACAGTACTAAAATGTTATGTAGAAAATATACTGCTTTATGATAGAGAATCGTGGAATGTGAAAGCACAAATTATAAAGAACTTGGAGGCGACGAGGTGTGGCTCCTGAGACAAAGGAAGCTAATGAAAACAGATCTATATATATACACCTATAAGGAAAAGACAAGCACCGTTCTTTGGTCATGTGTTGAAGGGGTTGGAGAAAATTGTAACGACTTGGAATATCAAAGGTTGAAAAGGGAGGGGCCGACTGAGAGAAATGATGACGGATGAATTGAGATGGTGGCACGGAGATGTATCATCGGTGGAACTGATGCAGAAGACAAGGGACCAAGATCTGTGGAGATGAACGCCTACGCCAGTCAGCAGGGCACATGATGTATATATATATATATATATATATATATATATATATATATATATATATATATATATATATATATATATACACACACACACAAACACATATTGAAAACACGTACACCGGTAAGTGTTGCATATGCCTGTGCAGGTGAGTAGCCCATGCATTCGCTTGTGGGTCGATTGCAGTTGATGGATCTGCAAATCATTTGTTTTCGCAAATAGTTATTTGAAATCAAAGGGAAAGTAATTATATCGGGAAATTAAAAATGAAACGTTGTTAAAATTTATTTGACAGAGTAAAAAAAAAAAATTAATTTAATAAATGTGCACAGGTAAAGTATAAACAGTAACATACTTGCTATGGTTTCAAAAGCTTTAATTGTATGAAGACTTTTTTTTAGTTTGTTGTTTGTTAGCTGCTCTGATTATGCGGTTGGTTTTGAATCATCCGGGGGAGGAGAGGGGGGGGGGGGGGGAATTCAGGTAGATTGAATGCTAAAGTCATAAGCACTAGCATACTGGTGTTATGAAAAAGAGCTTAAAACGACTAGTACCTTTTGAAATGAGGTTAGTGTAGATAGTTATTCTAGCACAGTATTATAGTTCTTTCCTTCTTTTGTCAACTCATTGAAACCAAGTTGTAGCTCAGTGTCGCGGTTTCCTGAATTTGTCCTGCGCTTCTCGACTGGTTTGGATAATGGATTTGTTTATCAAATGTGAAGGTTTCAGCTATACTATTTATCCATCTCTTTCTTGGTCTTCCCCTCGACTTCTTTACAGATGTTCTGGTGTACAAAACCTCATAATCAGTTTTTTCTGACTGCATTCTCACTAGATGGCCGGACCATTTGAATAATTCGTTTTATTTATGTATAATTCAGACACCGTTTTATTCCAACTCTTTCTCCAATGTTGGTATTTATAACCCTGTCTCTTGTTGTGTTATTAGTGATTTTACGGAGATATTACATTTCATAGTTACTTATTTTCTGTTCTAGTGTTATGTTCAATGTCTATGTTTGGCACTGATAGCATAGAGTTGGGATGAAGATGATACGAAGATGCTATGAGGTTAGTCTAGAGATAGTTATTCTAGCACGATATCAAGTTAGAATCTTAATAATGTGGCGTATTCTCTTTCCCTCTTCAAAGACAGAAACTAGCGGGATTTCCATGGGAAGTACTGAAACTTCCCATCTGTGAAGCGGAACATTTGATTGTTATTGATTTAACAAATTGTTGAATGTTGAATTAAGAATTAACATCACAGCACTCGGGACACTCCCATAAGCGCTCCGTCCTCATCTTTAGCAGCAACCGAAAAGTTAAAATTCCGATGGTACCAGTAACTGTCTGATTGTATATCCGTCTAGCCTTTCCCCTGAGTGTCGAGCGTCAGCTAGAGCCCCTTGTAACTTCTCGCAGTGCCATTCCCCTCAGGCCGTAATGATCTGTTCGTGGGCACTGTTTACTCGCTCCCAAAATGCCCTCACAACATCCAGCCTTTCATACATCAATTTACTACCAAGTGGTGCAGAACTGGCCAGTCTATATGGCTGCTTACCAAAACACCGGCGCGACCTAGAGAAAATATCCAAAGGATGCTAACTACCCGGGACCTTTGAAGTGATGCTTGCCACTCTGCACGAAGCATGCCTGTCTCCACCTTTCTCAACATGCTATGTGAGCCAGATATTTCAGAGAACATAGAAACCGGACAATATACTATGCTATTTTGAAGGACGTCACTGGATACTGGACTACTGGTCATTGCTCAGCCTTCATATGTAGCAACCATTCCAAGTTTTAACTTAAATGTACTACGCTGGTTAGAATGTCTTAAATTTCGAATGAGAAGAAGGCATAGACGTACTTTGCCAGACTTTACTTGAGGTAACTTGATAGAATTAGCATAAGAAACGCATCGTTATTCCCCAGTCTAGATCGCTTGCTTGCCTTAGTGCCTTACACAGCAAGTACATGCGCGTAGAATGACAGAACTGTTGTTGTCATCGCTATCTGTATGCGGTTTCTTTTCAAACTCTTAATCTCAACCTAATTCCGATCATTTTTCTCTATTTGTACTTCACATCCTGATATTTTACCTTAATGCTTAACCATATTTTTTTCTGAATCCGTCTCAGTAACTGTATCTTTCATGTTCCGCTTGCATAAATATTTTTTTCTAAGTAAATGCTGACTTCAAAACTCCTCTTTCTCTAATTTACTACAGGGGATGTCATTAAGGACTAAACCATTCTTATTCCTATGTACCGCAGAACTTGGTGTGTAACCTACGGATGTCCATGCCATCACAACAGGCTTTAACTAAACCCAAACCAAATGAATAAAATCTTGACAACTCTTTTGGTGGCAAACAAACATATTTTCACAAACAGGAAAAAATACTGCGAAAAATCTGCATTACAATTGATATGCTGAATTGAATAAATGCCTTAAATGAAATTGTTATCACGGCCAACAGCAGATCCATGAATTGTAACCCACGCTTCTTGTTGTTGCTTGATTAGTCAATAAACAAAACAAATCCCCGACAGCCCGTCAACTTGTCATCAGTCTGACCAGCTCTGTGAAGACAAAGAATTAAGGAAAAAAAAAATGATATTCTATATCAAAATTAGGATTCTATGATTAACAGTTCGCATTAATGAAAACTTTTCACGTGACAGTCAAGCGTAAGTGCCACTGTCCGACTACTGACTTCAGCTTATGTACGTAATAAAATATAGTATCCGAACACACATAAAATCAAACAAACACATGAAACTACAAGAATGAAATAAACTTTACATGTTTCCCATATTTATGTCTTTTTATTTTATTGTTTTGAAAAATCTGGTTTACATGTTGAATATGAATGTAACCGGAATCTTTGGTAAACCAAGGCGATGTTTAGTGAAACGATTTTCTATCTGCAAATTCCATTAATTTGTAATTTTCTGTTAAACGTAGTTAAATTTAGATTTTAAATGTAGGTACCTATATAATTGACTTGTCCAGTGCCATTGCTGTCTGCCTCTTTGATCATTTCGTCCACGTCTTCTTCGGTCAACTTATCTCCCAAAGTCATCATGAGATGACGCAATTCACCGGCGGTTATGTATCCTTTCTTTTCGCTGTCAAAAACCTAAACAGAAAGTAGATTATTGGGTTTTGGTCGGCACTTTTAGAGGATTCAAAGTTTACACTAGACAGTATACGATATAGATTTTACTTACTAGACCAAAAACAGTATATTGAACAATCTGGCGTATTTCGTCATAACTGGCTCATAAACAGTATCCTGTCCCAAAAGCTGCGTTATTTTGGCCATGTTAGGCATCTTCTTGGCCTCGAGAGAATGTTTATGGAAGGTGTCTCTAGTATTGATAGTATTAACCACGTGGCCTTTAAGCTAACCTCCCCTCCCCCCCCCCAAGCCTTCCTCTCCCTTTCCTTTCTACACGTTCTGCAGGTGCGTTACTATAGCGTTTCATCATCATCAACCAGCAGGTTCTATGCAGAACGTCGCTCTCTTCACGGCATGCCTGAAAATGTCTCTTAATCTAGCCTTCTCCAGCCTTATGTGTTTTCATAGCTAAAGTATCTTCTGTGTCTTGTATCCACCTTTGCGGAGGCCGGTCTCTGAATCGTTTTCAGGAAACGGCACCCTCCATAGCCATTCTCTCCAGGCCATCACGATGCTACTCATGGACAACATACCTCAACTTTCGGGACAGGATCTTGTTTATGAGCCAATTTTAAGAATCTGTCTGTAACATTGCAGTTCAAAAGCTCCGATTTTGTTCTTTAAAGATTGAGTACGAGTCCACGACTCACTTCCATAAGTCGCTACAAAAAGATGCATGATCTGAATCAAAATATTTACTTTTCACTGGCTTGCCGGTGCTGTGCCATAAGTAAAGGTTCTTTGTGTGTGTGTATATGTGTGTGTGTGTGTGTGTGTGTGTGTGCGTGCGTGTGTGTGTGTGTGTGTGTGTGTGTGTGTGTGTGTGTGTGTGTGTGTGTAAATTTTGCATTGTTAAAACCGTTCATTTTACGACTTACTTCGTGCAGTCGCTGCTGTACATTAGTTAGTTGCGTATCCTTTACAGGACGTTGCAGAACCAACCCCAGCAGCCCCTAGCTATTGTGTGGTTTCTCTAGGCAAATTTACGTCCAGTAGTTTGCCATTGCTCCCTGGACGGTCGGCCCACTGATACCACTGTCGAAACCAACGCAAGGCGCATGGCCCGTAGCTGGGATCGCACCCGGCATCTCGGCATTATGAAGCGTTCGCATCGACTTAGCCACAGAGCCGACTGTTATACATTACTGAGCCTAAAAATCCCAAATCGTTGACATTTTCAAAATCTTTTATGGTCTCACTTTAATAGGTGGCTTGTGTCGTGTATTCATTATGGACATTGTGTGTATGTTTTTTTTTTTTAGATTCAGAAAGAGAAATAAGTGGGGGAGTGGGGGGGGGGGGAGGGGTGGGGTAAGACAGGACAAAAATAAAATCGTAACAAACACAGTTAGTAGAGATAACATTACCCATGCGTTCCTAAATCTTTCTCTAGCCCAAGCCCAACCACCCCCCCCCTCCCCAACCACAACATCTCTCTCTCTCTCTCTCTCTCTCTCTCTCTCTCTCTCTCTCTCTCTCTCTTCTTTCTTCCCCACTCCCCCTTTCCAATTCCCATTTTATACTGTTCAAAAATGGTAACTGCAGACAGTACCCAAAAAAAAAAAAAAAAAAAACAGTTTCTCTTCTTTAACCCGATTTTCGCAACCGTTTTTTGCTTTTCCTTTAATCTCCACAATTAAACAAACACGCCAGTAGTAAACTATCTCTAACCTGGAATGCTTTCAGTAAATGATCAGCACAATTAAACAAACACGCCAGTAGTAAACTATCTCTAACCTGGAATGCTTTCAGTAGATGATCAGGAGAATTGTCTTTGTTCATTATTGTTGCCATCAGTGTCAAGAAATTGGCGAAATCCACCTGGCCATTTTCTGAAGATTGGATTAAATAAACTTTATATATCTGAGAGGTGGATTCTGTCAAATTTATAGTTACGCTTTCAAATGTAAATTGAACTGCCAAGACTGATGGAGCTAGAGGAAAGGGAAGACCAGGAGATTAAATATAATTAATATCAGAACGGTTTGGTCTCATGGAAGAGGAGAGTAAGAGCACGTATCTGATCCACCATTCTGGTGATTGTGTGGGGTGGCGAGTCACTGCCGTCTACGCGTTTCGGCAGGGCATAATTTGATGAGGAATCAAATGAATTCTTTAAATGCAATAATTATAAGTTAAATTCGGATTCAGTATTATAACATTTAAAAAAAAAATTAAAAAAAAAAAAAAAAAAAAACTAATCGGCATCGTTGTGTTGTGCCATATATGTGTCATATAAGACTTGCAATCAAGTCGCTTTTTAGTTTTATCCTGGCCCATCTTTTCCATGAAGTAGAGCAATGGCTCCCAATGAGATAAGATCCCTCAGTGGATCCTCTTGTAATCGAGGCGGGCGCCATGCATTGACACCACGCAGCCCTCGATTCCGCTACCACAGGACACCCAACAAAGGTTGACTTCTATGGTGATTACGAAAACATAATGTAACAAATTATTCCAACAGGATAAAAGAGGAAATCCTACTCACACACGCACAGATGTCAATGTGCACACACACACACACACACACACACACACACACACACACACACTCACACAAACACACACACACACGAACACACACACGTACACACAGACACACACACGCAGAAGCGAAAGTTGCAAACGAAAGTCTTTCTCAGTTTTTACTGATAACTACAGGAGTTGTTGAAGAGTATAGTAAGTTGAGTCATCTTGAACATAACACTGTTAAAACCGTTACATGTGGCTTCTAATTTCTAACAGCTAACCATACATTCTCATTCATAAAGGACTACTGGATTACTGAGTCGTACTTGGTGTAGCCCTATTTTTTATAACTTTCTTGGCATGCTAAATAGGATGTCTAGGACTTGCCATGTTGGTTTTCCATTCAGGGTCGATCTTTGAAATTTCAAGGATGTCAGGCAGACAGACTGGTGGATTCTGGACTCCGCAATGACTCTCCTTACAATCAGTAGTGCTACAGTCGCTTGCAGACTTCTTATTCGTGCATTGACAATCAACTCAACAGGTGAAAGATGGGCGACATGAATGACACGACTCGTTTGTCAATTTTTTTTTGTTCATTTACTCGCTGATTCTTTGGTCAGTACATGTGGTGTGGTCAACTGATAAATGCCAAGCCATTTGTTATCGGAGCCCTCTGGGAGCCAGTCAACAGTGCGGAGGCATAAACAGAGAGCCCTCTGGGAGCCAGTCAACAGCGCGGAGGCACAAACAGAGAGCCCTCTGGGAGCGAGTCAACATTGCGGAGGCACAAACAGAGAGCCCTCTGGGAGCCAGTCAACAGTGCGGAGGCACAAACAGAGAGCCCTCTGGGAGCCAGTCAACAGTGCGGAGGCACAAACAGAGAGCTCTCTGGGAGCGAGTCAACATTGCGCAGGCACAAACAGAGAGCCCTCTGGGAGCCAGTCAACAGTGCGGAGGCACAAACAGAGAGCCCTCTGGGAGCCAGTCAACAGTGCGAAGGCACAAACAGAGAGTCCACTGGGAGCGCATCAACAGTGCGGAGACACAAACAGATCATCATGGTCTGAAGAGACTGATGCAGCGAGGAGTGACCAGAGATTTGAGCGACACTTGACACTTAGGGAAAAGATAAGGCAAAAATACAATCAGACAATTACTGACACCGTCAGAACTGGAGCTCTGTGCTTGCTGCTGAAGATTAGGACGAGATGTTTATGGCATGTCCCAAGCGGTATTATGTTGGCTTTTAACTCATCCAAACATTGTTGTGACACCAGCCGAAGTGATGTCAATCTTTCAGATCCAGGTCCATAGGAAGAACAACTGACATAGTCTTCTTCGCTTTTATCGGCTGTAAACTCCGGTGGAAAGTTTTGGTTATTTATCCATTTCTGAACTCTAGTCCAGTTCTAGAATCTGAGTGTTGAGTACACATCGGTTTTACAGTTATGGCTCATTTGTATGCAGACTACTAGTTCCAACCTTCTCAGGCAGATGTACTCCGACTTCGAAGAAAGCTCTCAGTTAGTCGACTCTTACGACATGCTTCTAAGTAGGTATTGGGTCTATTCTTGTCTTTCCTCCACAATGAAGCGCCTGAACCCATACAGGGAACTGGCATCTGATAATCCTACATAATACCGGCTTGGCAAACAATTAATTTTAGTGACGAACACTGCCCTTTCTCTGGCCACTTACTGTGATCAAACTGTGCCTGCATCTTTTGGAGCTCATCTTCCGTGACTACACCGCCTAAGGATCTGATGATCACACCAACTTCACTCGAGGACAAATATCCGTCGCCATCTTTGTCAAACAGGCTGAATGCCTCCCGAAAGTCTGTGTTGCAACAGAATAGAAACCTCAGCAACTTCTAACAGTAACAACAACAATAATAATAAATATTATTATAATAATAATATCAATAATAATAATAACAATATACGGATATGCCAACTAACAACTGTACATATTATATTAGTTAAATGACAAATGTAGAAATGGTTTTTATCAGACCAGAGATAAAACTTGAAACAATAAACAGAGATCCACACTGTCTTTTCTTCTTTGTATGTTTCACTGTAAACACACACACATATGCTCACATTCACACATGCTCACATTCACACACAATATCTAAACTATAAAGTCCACACACAGAGACCCACGTACTAATTTATTTACACAGTTGCACATACAAATTGTCCTCTCTGTTGCTCTCCTGCTCACCCGCCCATCCATCCATCCATCCATCCATCCATCCATCCATCCATCCATCCATTAATCCATTCATCCACACACACACACATATATATACACACACACGCACGCACGCACGCACGCACACACACACACACACTCACGCACAGACAGACAGACAGACAGACAGACAGACAGACAGACATACAGACAGACAGACAGACAGACAGACAGACAGACCAGACAGACCAGACAGACCATGCACAGACCAGACAGACATACAGACAGACAGACAGACAGACAGACAGACAGACAGACAGACAGACAGACAGACAGACAGACAGACAGACAGACAGACAGACAGACAGACAGACAGACAGACAGACAGACATGGGCTAGAAGCCCGCCTGCGGATTGGAAGGTAGTGGGTTATTAGAGGTTCTGATGCATGCATGCACACACACATATATAGACTCACACATATACAGACAAACAGACAGACAGACATTTCGATGATCATATTGTCTTAGTTTCAGTTCTTCTTCTTCTTCTTCTTCTTCATCATCATCATCATCATCATCTTCTTCTTCTTCTTTTTCTTCTTCTTCTTCTTCTTCTTCTTCTTCTTCTTCTTCTTCTTCTTCTTCTTCTTCTTCTTCTTCTTCTTCTTCTTCTGCTTCTTCTGCCGTTCGCCTATGTAAGCATAGGTTGCCTATATAAGCATATGTTGTCTCTCGTATAAATTTCAGTGTCGTTTTCAATGCAAATTCTAATTTTAGAAGGGGGAAGAAAGCAAACAATGTGACCACGTTCAGCCTGCTGTGAACAGTCTTGGTGTTAAGGTGATAACTGTGGTCATCTCAAGCTATCTATGGGTGCCTGCCAGCAGTTGTATGTCACCTACAGGACAGTGCAAACCATCCCCGGCATTTGTTGGCTGCTGGGGAAGGGGAAGGGGGAGTGTGTGTAAGGAGAAGAAATCTACGTCCAGTAGTTTGCCGTCGCTACGACACTGTCGTACGCTCATATCGTTGCTGAAAGCAAAGCAACGCTATGCGGTATACTGCCACAGCGCCTCCAGCTGAATCGAAACGGGTATGTTGAATTATCAACCTGAGTTAGTTCATAACCCCTAAACCACTGACAACAGCCATAGGGAAGGGAGGTAAGAATTTACCAAGAAATTAGCGAAAAACATTCATTCGTTGGCTCCCGTTATTTTTCAAACAGTCCTTTCTTTTATTCACGTCTGTAAATTTCAATAAATCTTATAAAACGTCAGGCGCGCGCGCACACACACACACACACACCCACCCACCCACCCACAGCCAGCCAGCCAGCCAGCCAGCCAGCCAGCCAGCCAGACAGACAGACAGACAGACAGACAGACAGACAGACAGACAGACAGACAGACAGACAGACAGACAGACAGACAGACAGACAGACAGACAGACATACATACATACATACATACATACATACATACATACATACATACATACATACATACATACATACATACATACATACATACATACATACATACATACATACATACATACATACATACATACATACATACATACATACATACATACATACATACATACATACATACATACATACATACATACATACATACATACATACATACATACATACATACATACATACATACATACATACATACATACATACATACATACATACATACATACATACATACAGACAGACAGACAGACAGACAGACAGACAGACAGACAGACAGACAGACATACATACATACATACATACATACATACATACATACATACATACATACATACATACATACATACATGGGATACATACATACATACATACATACATACATACATACATACATACATACATACATACATACATACATACATACATACATACATACATACATACATACATACATACATACATACATACATACATACATACATACATACATACATACATACATACATACATACATACATACATACATACATACATACATACATACATACATACATACATACATACATACATACATACATACATACATACATACATACATACATACATACATACATACATACATACATACATACATACATACATACATACATACATACATACATACATACATCCGACGTACGAGCCTACCTCAGTTTTTAAGGGGTGAAAATCGAGCTATGAGCATTCGAACCCAAGGATATTTCATGATGGCGGGCGAGCGCCTGGCCGCTGCACTACCGCGGCTCTAGATACAAACTTGGACAAATTATACAATTTTACCAGTCTAACTCAAGCATACGTGCGCGTACGCGCGCACAAACACATATACATAACAAAATTCATGCATTGGTAAATATTTGGCAAGGTCAACTTACTAGTTGTTTGCTCTTGAGAAAACTGATTCAGCGACTGAGGATAAAAATCACTATATTATTTTGCAGCTTAAAAGTGTATTCGAATTTTTCATGTATTAAATTGTCATAATAGTTTCCAATACATAATTCAACTCTTTGAAATTTGCTTTTGTAGCAACCTTTCCTTCACAAAGCTATGGGATACCAGAGCAACAATCAGCGAGACTACAGGTTGAATAGGCCTACTGTAAAGTGTTTATTATCACCATCATCATTATTTTCTACTTCTGCCGTTAAGCGTTGTGGGAAGGAACAGTTTGCGATCCATTGCTTGATGGGTAGCAATGGCTAATGTCATCCCATGTCGATGTAGATATCCATTCTTGGGTCTTTAATGTCATCAATGCGATGCTACTCCTACAGTCGGTAGAAGCTCTTTATCTTGATTTCAGAGCTCTCAGATTTCACTTCAGCGCGTGTAGCGCCTGCGTTGGTTGTTGTTCTGGCTGCATTCTTACTAAATGACAAAATGATTTGATCTTATTTTTCTCAATGAATTTGCTGCACGGTATTGTCTTACAATAATATCATTTCTAACCTTGTCTCGGAATGGTTAAGTTGGCGGCTTTTCTCAGGTGTAAAGTGTTAAACTCTAACAAATACTACGTCATCGCATTATGAAATGAGCAGCCCATTTTCAATTCTTGTGGTCTTTCTTTCCTTTAAAATTTCTCATTATCAATCGCTTCACGAATCTATATTGAAGACACCAGAGCTGTTATGATATGCACAAACAATCCTCCTCATCAACATCATGTAGCAGGTTCTTTGCAGAACGTCGCTCTCATCACAGTCTGTCGTAAAGAAACAAGGTCTCACGTAGCTCTCCCGACATGTGAAATTTTCTACCCAAAGAGTCAATTGTATCATGTGCCCATCTTGGTACTGGTCGGCTCCTGTTCTTCCTTCCTGACATCATGCCTTCTGCTATAAATTTGTGTTCCCAATCCACCGCGGCGCTTGATATGGTTAACATATTACAGTATCCAATAAACAATCCTACTTCTGCATTTTTAGCACTAACTGTATTAGTATAAGGGCACGTCAATTAAGAAAGTTATAACAATCTTCTTTTTCGTCTTCTTCTTCTTCTTCTTCTTCTTCTTCTTCTTCTTCTTCTTCTTCTTCTTCTTCTTCTTCTTCTTCTTCTTCTTCTTCTTCTTCTTCTTCTTCTTCTTCTTCTTCTTCTTCTTCTTCTTCTTCTCTGCTTCTTCTTCTTCTTCTTCTTCTTCTTCTTCTTCTTCTTCTTCTTCTTCTTCTTCTCCTCCTCTGGTCCTGTATCGTCTTTCAGCATCAGGTTTTGAAGAGCAATAGAGTAAAAGCCTTAGTATGTGCTACGTAGATGCTAGTATCTACGGCCTCGGATATTCCAATTATCCATGGCGTCTGTGGTCGACCTATGGTTCTGCTTCCATTATGTCTAAGTGACAGTCCTAACACATGTCCAAACCATTTGATTAAACAATTGAATAAAAAACATCTACAGTTTTCTCAGGAAACATCCAAAGATCTTACAGTACACATTTACATGTCAAAAGCAGGGGCTGAGTGGTCTCGAGGCATGGTGTCCGCCACGAGCGCTGGAGGTTCCGGGTTCAAGCCGCGGTGGGTGTTGAGATTTTTCACGTGGACTTTGAGTAATTTTTCCTTGGTCTCTTGGTAGTAAGATCGAACGCCCGTGTGTATTCTTGAGCACGTAGAAAATTCCTTGGCAGTTCACAATCGAACTGAGTAGCCTAACGGTGTTACCCGAACAAAATTTGGAGTTAAAAATCTATCCAAAGTATTTCAGGATCCTCGCTGGTGCAACGGAGTTCGTGCACTGCGATGAGATTTTTTAAACTCAGGCTTGAGTTGAAAGTAGAACCGAGCACTTATGGGTTACACCCGTGTGCCATGATGTTGATTCGTCGAATAAACATAAACGTCCAAAGCTCCATCTGTCACAATCATGCTCTTTATGAAGTCAAATGTTGAGTTAGTTCTTAAATGTAACGTCCACATTTTTTGTAGTACACGTTCCAGTTCTTATAAATACACATCTAAACGTTCAACTGTCTAACTATAATCAAGAAAGATTCACACGATTATACACTTTACAAAACCAACTCACCATTCTAAAGCAAATAATAACCAAGATTTTATTTTTCAGTCGAATTAAAAGTGGTTTCACTTTTCAGCCAGTGAAATTCCAAGTAAAAATAACATGCACATGCACGCCACAACTGCCTCAACACACTATGTGTTGTCGATAGCTTCAACCTGAACCGTTTCAAACCGATATGACCTCAGACACAAAGATGGTTTCTTTTTATCTTATCATAATTGGACTCCATTGCCGGGAACTAAGATAAAATAGCTCTTGTTTCTGCATCTATAATTGGCATGGTTGCGTTAGGGTGTTTACTTGTGCCAGTCCCGCGTGACACCTGAAGTGACAAAGAGATTATAAATACCAGCTACGAGTTCAATTTATAGAGTATGTAACAGTAATCCCACTTATAGTATGTATATATATGACTTGCCTGGTCTGTTGTTGAGTGTGCATTAAGTAACTATATATCTTGAGTTGCATATTTAAAGACCTTTATTGTCTTTGCTAACTTGTCAGAAAATCTGTCCTTACTGTCTGTATTTACCGCTTTCGTTTTAATAGCAGTGCAGGTCAGGCGCACTGACACAGAGAAAACATTATCCAGGTGGGGGCAAGCGGGGCGGGGATAGGTGGGCGCGCTCACCCCTCTCTCCCCACCGCCATATATTCACCGCCATATATTTTTTCGGGGCAAAAGGGGGATGGGGCTCGAGGGACTTAATACTAGTTTAAGGGCATCATAATAATAACCCCATGGGCATAATAATGATTCTATGTTGTGGTGCCAGTGGCATAGTGTCAATGTAGTCTCGTTGACTGGTTGTTAACTCTGGTGGCGTTAACTTCTTGTTTCGTCCACTTCTTGACTTTGGTCTTGTTCCAGAACTTGAGTTTTGCGTGTTCATCCGTTTTACGAGTCCGGCTCATTTGTATTCAGACTGCTGGTGCCTTGCCTCTCAGGCAGACGCACGCCGACTTCCAAGCAAACATCCCTAATTAATTTGTCGCCTTTTACGATACGCCTGTTGATGTTGTTCGGGTCGGGTAGGGTGGAGAGCTGGACGGGGACAATTATGCTGCCCCTTGTCCTAATTATTTGAGGATAGATAAACTTGATGGAAATATGAACAATCTCAAGGCAATTACTACTTGATTACTATCTAATAAACGAGCAGGCCAACTAGCAAGCAATGCACCAAGGCATGTGGGAAGAAGCACGGACAGAGCACAAATCATCAACCCTGGAAAGACTAGGTTAGTGGATAATGACGAATCTCTTGCGCTAACACCATTGCGTAATATGGAAGTAAAAATATGATAAAACATGTCTATTACACATTCAAAGCCGAGATAAAAGACAATATAACCAGCTACCTTGGAGTGGCTGCTGCGTCTGAGGATTGAGTACACATGGGAATGCCCAGTGTGCTGTGATGTCAATTGTGACAACATAAAATATTCTTTTCTTCTTCTTCACGTCCTTTTTTACCGCTTCGGATATCTAGGGAGATATAAGGTCCTGCTGCGTGATCTTCTGGCTGCTTCGACCATAGACACATCGTGGTGCTGTAGAGTTTCTCTGATGTTATCTTCCCATATTGTTCTTGGTCTAACTCTTGGTCTACGTCCCTCTCCTCTTTTGGTGTATGCCTTGTCACGTATAGCATCAGAAGACATTCTCTCTATGTGGGCAAACCATTTGATTTGCTGTCTTTGTATTTAATTCAAAATTGGTTCTGTGCCGACTTTATCTCGTAGACCTAATTCCTAATTTTATCTCTTCTGGTCACCCATACAGCCTTTCTCAGACATCTTATTTTCATGGTTACTATAAATATTCACTACTTTCTTATTTTCATGTTTACGCTGGAAGCTATTTAGAGGAGAAAGACGGGGAGGAGGAGATAAAAATAATAAACTGATTACAGAAGTGTGACTGGCTAAACGATGAGCTCTGCCACTAGAGACCCAGGTTCTACCTTCGATAATAATCCTTACCTATTCAGTTCATGGTGTCGACACAAGCTGGGAAGCCTTAAATCTCCAGGCTTAAGACTGCGACTATTATCATCGAAAATGGAACTCTGCCGACTGCTGAAGATGCGTACAGGGCGCTTATGTGAAAGTCCTGAGTGTTGTGATGTCGGCTCGTTCTTAAATCAGCTCACAGCCATTAAATCAAGACCCATCATCACTTCGTAACCGTGTTGTAAAGTAAAGTAAAAAAGTAAAGATCCATTGTTACACCTTTAGGCCAATCGGGCATATGGGATAAGCGCCCATATTTTTACAGACCAATCGGCACTAGGTGGGTAATGTGGTCAGCATTACACCGATCGTCTTTACTTCCCCGGGACATACATCCCGGTTCCAATTTTAGGCTGGGTCGACCTGCAACGCCCCATACCATGATAACAATCCACGTGGCTAGCAGTGGGTTTTGATCGCGGTACGTTGGAACTAGGAGTCGGACTCGCAACACCTAGGCCACGGCCGCTGTTGGCCGTTTTGTGGTGCGCCAAAAATAGCTGCCCGATATGGTTACATGCTTGTACAGAGAGGGTTTCGGGATTTGTACCTGTTTCTGCTTATTCCTCTTCTTCTCCCTTTCCTTCTCTTTCTTCTTTTTTCCTCCTCCTCCTCCTCTGTCTTCTTCTTCTTGTTCTTCGTATTCACCGGTTGTAAGCTCCTTGGGGCAAATTCTGGTTGTTCATCTACCTCCGTCCGGACTTTAGTCTCGTTCCAGAATCTGAGAGTTGCGTGCTCATCCGTTTTACAGATTTAGCTTATTTGTATGCAGACCGTTGCTTCCTTGCCTCTCAGGCAGATGCACACCAACTTCGAAGGATGGCCCCAATCAGTCGTCTCCCACGGCATGTTAATAGTCATGCCCGTTTTTTTTTTTCAAATGTGAACAAACATCTCATTTTCGTTTTGCCTAATTTGCGGTATAGAGAGTGGGTAAAACAGACCCATAAATGTCATAAAGGCAAATAATCATCATTCTTAGGGTAACTTAGGTAAATTGAATAAGGGAAAACTTTACAAAGTATCAAATTAGACGCGTTTCAGAGGCGTTTCACTCTCAGATACTCATATACTAATCTACAACAGTGATTCCAAAACTGTGCGCCGCGGCGCCCTGAGGAGCCGTGACCTCTTTACAGGGGTGACAAGAAATTTTTATAGACACCAGTTTTTTTTTTTTTTTTTTAAATATATATATTTTTTACCCGCGAATAGTCATACTTTTACTTAGGTTAGGGCGCAGTAGAAGAAATTTTAATTGAAAACATGCGCTGCGACTAAGACAAGTTTGGGAAACACTAATCTATAGCATGGGGACCGCGTTAGCGCAGTCGATAGGAGACTCGCTTTAAAATCCAGCAGCGACTCGCTGCAGCCCACGGCCGGTTCCCGGGATTCACCTAGCCTCTATGTAAATGGTACCAGAGTTAACACTCTGTGGTAATGGAGGAGCGTCGCTGTAGCTACGGAGTTGCGTGCGGACGGCGACAAAGGCGGACAGTTTTTTATTAGCTGTCCGTACTGGAGGCAGAGCAATTATGGTTTATAACTGTGTGCAGTGACGCTGGTTCACATCTCCCGACTTTACCTTTTTACCTTTTTTTTTAAATTTATAACATTAGTTTCCGATGAGTTGTGGATTTTTCATTAAGTGGTGAATAGGATATCAAAATAATCATCACGGATCATGCCAACTGATTTCCAAACAATCTTCACCTGTGTGTCAGTTACTGTATATTCTATTGTTTAGGCGTACGTAAGTTATCAGTCAAACAAAGATTAAAGAAATTCGCCGCTTCAAGAAAACAGCAGCTTTGGTGCAATTATAAATCATGCAATCATTAGGCCGTGCGAATGCTAAGGCTACATGAGTAAATATTGACGGCATGCTTTTTGAAACGCATCATAGCTTTTTAAACACGATTAAGCTCAAATAATGTTACTGGAGTATTGCAATTTGAGCGGTTTCTACACATGAGTTATTGTTGTGCTGCCCCCCCCCCCCCCCCCCCCCCACCCATCCTTTTTTAAATATCACATGGGATTTCTTTGTGTAACATTTAATTAATTATTTCTTGACTGCAATTCAGTAAATTAATGTATGCAATATACATTTCATCGCTTTTTGTTTCTGGTTTAAAAAAAATCGACACGTTTTTGGTCATAATTGCACTAGGTTATGTGCGTCACATAAAATGGTTTAGCACTGCTTGCCACCAAACGCCCTGTCAATGTCTCTTGCAGTGTTAATGCGATCAAATCAGACAGATTCAAACTCTGTTTCAAATTCAAGGTCGTCCACCGGCGAGCCAATTTGCGACCTGGTCGCTGATGATGATTCGTTGCTTTCTTACCTGTTCTAGTGTTCGTCCTGCTAAAGGCTTAAAATAGAACACGGGACAGGTAACTACTAGATTTTAGGTGACCTGCACATTTTGCGGTTGCATCTAATGTAGATGTGTGTTTTAGTGATCCGTTTCCCCACACAAGTAAATTATTTATGTTCTTGTATCTCTGTTTAGCTGCAGGTTTTAAATATTCATTATTTTAATAAATGATACATAAATCCGTTTATTGATTATCATTGATTATTGCTCCTATACATTTCAAACAAATGCCTGTCGTAGGTTCTAATATTCGCAGTCCTAACAAACTAGAAAATAGTATATTTCCCTACTCCTTCCACTTGGCTGGTGTTGACTGCTATTACATAATTATTATGTCTCAAGTGAAGCGTTAATATTCCCAAACTGTCTCGAAAAGCCCTGAGATTTATCTATCATCGATGAGCGTCGCCTTAAATTAAAAAAGGCCCACATCCGCCAGATATGGGACAGTGTGTTCAACTATAGCAAAACAGAAGCTGTGTCACCTTTCCTTCCTTGGCCCGACAACGGCGACAACTGCCGCAGTGTGCCGTGTGTAGTCGAACGGACACGCCCTGAAATACTATCAGGGTTGTAGTGGAATTTATGCAGCAAATGCTAAAACAGCGCGGTGTCTTTATTTAATGAGGAACTAGAGAATAGAGAGAAACGCGAAGAATACCACACTATTCCTGCCCCAAGGAGTACTGACAATATTGAATTGACATATTGTTCTGATAAACAGGGTTTTTCAAATTTCAAAGGCTTTTTAGAAACAATCAATGGTAAGAGAATTAAATAAATTGATTTGATTATACAGCTCAATATATCATATATTATATGTTCTTTGGTATGTATAGTAAAATCCTTTTTTACGCCGATGGTGTAGAATGTTATATTTAGGCTTAAATTTGCATAGATCATTCAGCACTCGGTGAGTGATGTAGATGTCTCCACATCAGTGTCATTCATACCGGTCGTCTTTACTTCCCCAGACATTGCTTTGCTCCCCCCCCCCCCTTCTAGTATAATTATTATACACAATTTAAATATGTTTTTAATAAGTTATAACGTAGCTAAATGTAGCTAGTTTACTTACTTTGTAAACTCCTTACTTTATGACCATGTTTCTAAAGTGAGTAATATTTAGTAAATGTAACGTTATTGTTAAAATTGAAGATATAATAATGTTCTCTGTGTCTGTCGTTTGTGATAAAATTGGTATACATGCACAATGTCTTAATATTCGTCAGCGTGTGTTAGTTTCCATATGCCGTAAGATTTTTCTCGCTTTCTAACCCACCCAAGCTTAGTGACTCATACCCGTGGTATGTTGGTCAGCAGAAAAAAGATCGATTTCCTTCATCTTTCACTTTAACTCTGTCGTTCTTATGCCCCACCCACCTCCACCCGACACCGTGAGTCACTCACTGTTGCGTTTGCCCGATTCATCCGAATTATTTTTAATGTTTTTACCCCGATTGGATTAGCACCATAATGTCGATTTAAAGAGAGAGAGAGAGAGAGAGAGAGAGAGAGAGAGAGAGAGAGAGAGAGAGAGAGAGAGAGAGAGAGAGAGAGATTTCAATCTTGTGTAAAAGTTGTTGCTAATTGTTGGTTTCCTCACCACTATGGCTAGACTTTTGCCTGCCAGCCCAAAAGCCTTGGGTTCGAATCCTCAGTGGGAGAGCATTTTATAATTGATCAGTTACTCTCAGGTGGATCCAACGTCCAGCTTGCATAGATGTTGAACTGCATTTCTAATGTCAGACTATTTGTGTTAGCACTTCTGATGGCTGCCATATGGTTTTTAATGTATGTGTATGCTAATATATTTGCTGAGACTGCAGTCTGTGTCAATTTTTCCACAAGGGACAGTGATAGACATTCTGTGTGTTTTTCTTTGGCACAGGAGTGGAGCAACCCATGGGGTGACTCGTTTGCTATGAAACTGAAACTAAGATTACCAGCATCAAATGGGCATGAGAAAATGTCCTGTGAAGTAAAAGCAGATGGCATAAATTTAACCACATGAAATCAACTCTGCCACTTGGTGGGTCTGATGGCTGCCATATGGTTTTCAATGTATGTGTATGCTAATATATTTGCTGAGACTGCAGTCTGTGTCAATTTTTCCACAAGGGACAGTGATAGACATTCTGTGTGTTTTTCTTTGGCACAGGAGTGGAGCAACCCATGGGGTGACTCGTTTGCTATGAAACTGAAACTAAGATTACCAGCATCAAATGGGCATGAGAAAATGTCCTGTGAAGTAAAAGCAGATGGCATAAATTTAACCACATGAAATCAACTCTGCCACTTGGTGGGTCTGGCACCATATATCTGAGGAATCACTGAAATGATACAGGTTCTTGACTCTCTTTTGTACCTCTCAATATTATCTGCCTCTGTTTGTGTTAGAAAGGTCTAAAATGATTGCAAAAGAAAGGAAAAACTATAGAAAATCTTAAGAAAACACAATAAATATGTTGGCTTTAGAAAACTACTTTGAATAAACAGGACATTGCCTTAATCAGCAGACACATGTGCATACACACAGATGACCACTTGCACTTGTAGTGTAAAATGTACGAAGAAACTGGGAGCACCAAAAATGTCCCATCATATGAGATTCTTATACATTCACTTGACAGACTGAATGTAATGCTTCATTCCCCTCATCTTATCTAAAGGCTCATCACTCCAAAGATCAAATTGAAGAAGCGTTTAAGCTGTTTGACAGTGACGGAGATGGATTCCTGCTGGTCAGTGAAGCCACTTCAGCCATCAGATCTCTGGGCCATATCCTTACAGATGCAGATATGAAAGGTTTGCTAAACAGAGCAGGCGTGGACACTGGTAAGTGGACACATACATTATTTTCCTAATGCTCATTATTGTAAGTTGGGCAGGTCTGCAGAAGATGGCAATCACAAGGCTATTGCCACTCGAGGATCTAACAAATTTATCTTGAACAAAAAATGTTTTCCAGTGTGTAATCCAACAATTTATCTGATTTTTCCTTGAAAGTTGAGGTTAATTGTTACATGTCATCATAGAATGAAATACTACCAAAATAGAAAGTAGAGCTAGTCACCTAACACCTTCCTTCCCCCCATCCAAGCGTGCAGCTCCATGGCTTAGAGCTTAGCGTATGCAGTTAACAATTTAATTATCTTCAGGTAATGGAGATCAGTACCCATAGTGAATGTTTAAAAAAAATTGTTTTTAGCAAAGACAATGGTGGTACATTGTAGTCAGTCTTCAATGTGGGGATGGCACATGTTGTTGTTCCCCTATATTAAAAACACAATTACAGGTGATACAATAAATGTTTGTGGCATACAACATCATTAGCAGACAACATGGAAACTGAAACACAATGTGGCTTTGCTGTTTAACTCTTTGAGTCCCAGTGGGTTTAGCATCACAGGCCCAGAGAGTGGTAAAGAGAGTCATAAAATCGGCGCATCATGCATTCATTGGGCTGCTAGGTAGGAACCTATGAACGCATGATGCGTTCCTTGGGACTCAAAGAGTTAAAAGCTGAAGTCTACTCCTGGTCAAAAGATTCATACACACTTGAAAAACTAAATGGTTAACATATGTCCACACTAGATCATTGAACTAGCACTCTTACAGAGATAAACACTAGACAGGAAGTGACACTGAGAGATTTGATGGGTTGAGGGGGTTTGGATCATGTGGAGATTACACGGGTGGAAAAGTGGGATGCAACAAAAAATATTTAAATGAAAGTGTGTAGAAAAAAAAAAAGACTATGCAGTGATAGGGAACTCAGCTAAAAAAAAATCGGGCAGTTTTCCAGATACTTACAAATGTTTCTTAGAGTGAACATGATTTAATGGTCACGACTTCACATTCAAGAATGCCCTGATGCCCGATGCTGTTGAAATGGTTCATTTGTTGAGCAAGATTTAATGGTCAGTGTCTTTTTGTCCATTTTGTTCTAGGATAATTTTTTTGAAAACTTTTTATAGAAGTTTTTGGTAGTTCTTAACCCCTTTGTCAAAAAAGTTGCAAAACTGACACTTCTGGTTGGGTCCAGTTCCCAATAAATGTCACTTTTCTAACTAGACTATAATAATTTTTTTACGAGATGCATAACTAATTCTATTGGAAAAGTTCCTGCCAACACAATTATTTAGGAGGTCAGGATATGAAGACATTATCTGAAACCAGCATTTGGGGATTGATAAAGAAGGGGCAAATATTCTTTGAGAATATAGCTTTTTTTTTTTTTCAAAGCCAAGTTGACCTCAAATTTTCCTTTAAGCTTCAGTGATAAAGAGGTTACGGTGTCATGGCATGAGTCACCTGATGAACATTTATTTTAGGTCTAATGAATGTAATCCATTTAAAGCTTCCCCATGTTCATCTTTATTTATTACTTCCTTTGTGTATCTTTAAATCTAAAAAAAGAATTTTTTTTGTTACAAAGAATTTATTAGTGACGTGTAAATTTTTTTAATGGATTTTGTTTCTATATTTCCAAATAGGTCATGACCCATTTTTTAAGTATTCCTTGGGCGAGAGGGTTAAATCATTTTAATTTAGTCTTACAATGGAAGTTATGGCTGTAACAAGGGCATTAGCATGGCTTGGTACTCAAGAGTTCATACATGTGTGCACACTTAGTGACTCGATGAATATGCTTAAAAAAATCCAAGCTGGTTTTATCATGCAGGAATGGATTGCAACACTCAGCACAGGAATGGCTGCCCTAACCTTTATCTTTGTGCCAGGTCATGTGGATATTCAAGGGAACGAGCATGCAGATTATCTTACTGACACAGTGGTTGTTATGGCTGGTCTAGTACTTGACAGAAGTGATGTTATCAATGCCATCTGCAGCACTTATTGTGGCAGTGAGCACGCCAAAGGGCATGACTCTGTATCCATGTCTAGGCTGATGGACATGGGGGGTGCAGCCTGGAGCTGCAAGAAATGAACATTTCACCAAGGGGACAAGATGTTTCATTAACCAACACAGAACAGGCGTCATTTGTTGTTTTACACTTGTGGAGCTTTTGAGGAGGAGATTGGAGCACCTATGGATCTGTCCAGAGTGCTGTGATGATAATCCTTACTAATCACTAATAACTAATTATAATCAATTTCTTCATTGTCTGATACTTTGCTGGCGATTAGTTACCACTGAATCATCTATCTGTTTAAATATTTGGTTATTATTGAGAGCACCTGACAGTTTCACTTGTTTCAAACAGGTCGTGGTGGGCGTGTTGACTTGGCCAAGTTCAAACAGATGCATGGATCACTGAAGCCTCAGAACTACAACCTACAGCTGGAGGAAGCTTTCAAAACTGTCGACAAAGATGGCTGTGGCTTTGTCATTGCCACGGAGTTGAAGCACCTGTTGACGAACATGGGAGACCGACTGTCTCAGGAAGACTTCAACATTTTGTTGGAGGAGTTGGATATTGATAGCGATGGAAGAGTCCAGTTTAAAGGTAAGTTTGATTTGTTTTATTCATTGATTTCTATATTTTATGAGTGTTTGTATGATTGGTTAATGTTGAAGCAAGCCCCATTTTAGATTCCGTCTTTTTTGTCACAGTTTGTCATCAGACCAACTTGCGATATTTTCGACAGTGATATGGACCACCGACTGTTTAGAAAGCAGTGTCAAACTACTGAATGTGAATTTGCCTTGTATAAAAATTTACCAAACAAATCTAGGGTTGGTTTTGCATTATCGTGTGAAGGATACACAACTAACTATAACTTATTTTTATGTTCCTTGTTACCCCTCTAATGGAACCTAGACATTTCAGTCACCTTATATGAAGTTGTCATAACCATTGCCACCATGTGCAGCTCTTTGCAAGCCCTTTCAATATTTTTACCCAGTACTCTCTCTAATTGTCTTCCTCATTTTTTGGGAGTGTTTATTGTTTATTTATGATTTGCCTGTATTTCTTTGGCACTGTGCAAGGGCATTATAGTTATTTTATTATTAGATTTTCCCAGTAAGTGCCGTCTTAAGATGGGATTCCTAACACTTTACATACGCTAAATTATGACTATATTATCTGAGATAATTAGCTTTTTTCCTCAAATTTTACTATCCTTAACTTGCAGCAAATTCAGAACAAATTTTACAACACCTTGGACTGAAGTGAAATTGCAGAAAAGGTGTTTACAACAGACAAATTTATAGAATGTAAAGTGAAGGATCAGTTTAATGCTGTGAGATATGAGATAAATGATGTTAGCTATTTTATTTTCATATCAATCAGCATGCTTGGCTCCCATGCAGGAGTCCCCGGTTCTGATACTTGGAAAGATAAAGGAGGTTTTTTCTGTAGACGGCATGCACGCACGTACACATGAACACATAAACAAATGAAAAAACATCCTACTTTGCCCAGTTTGTTCCGACTTCACTGACCCTGTGGTTCTAAAAAGCCCATGCTCAAGACATCCATATCCACGACTGCCAGAAAAAAAAAAAGGATAAACACAGACGAAGCAGAATGGAAACTATAGAAAAACACTGCTCTAGTGCAGTAAAGCCAGGCTTCTCTCTGTCTTTAAAACTTTTGAATTAACCAGTTAAATACTTGCTAACTATCCATTACTAGGAAAACACAAATGCAGAATTGCAACATGTGAGAGGAAATGTATAAAAAATGTGGTAGGAAAACACATGAAGACTCACCAATGAAGAACTAAGAACTGTGGTAGGCTCAGTACTGATAAATGATTTCGTAGAAGATCAAAGAATCAAATGATTTGGTCATCTGGTCAGTATAGAACATTATTACCTAGCAGCTAGAGCGTACCACATGAGAACAGCAAGCTACAAGGCAACAGCCAGCTATAAAAAAAAGGGATGTAGGGGTAACAGAGAGACTACAGAGATGCAAAATGACATTAACACAAGCTGTACAACTAGCAAAAGACAAGATAAATCTAACTCCTCCCTGCTATGCTTTACAACATGTGTGGTAGGTCTACAACAAAAAAGGAAGAAGATAGAAGAAAATATCAATTTCACTAATACACATGGGGGGGGGGGGGGGGGGGCTTTCTGGTAGAGCACTCATTATCAAATATGTATACCATCTACACTATGCTTGGCTGAAGTGCACTTACTGCAGTCTTTGGGAATATTATGTGTGGCCCTAATCGTATTGATGGTGAAATGTTTGTGTCACTGTCAGAATGCCATGTACCAGCAATCAAATCACTTATTAACTCTTTGAGTCCCAAGGGGTTTAGCATCAGAGGCCCAAGGGGTAGTCGAAAAGGATGTAAAATCGGCGCATCTTACATTTATTGGGTCTCTAGGTATGAACCTATGAACGTATGATGTGTCCCTTGGGACTCAAAGAGTTAAAAGAAAATACAATGAATTGTGGAGGAACGAACAGTTCAACACCCACAAGACCCCATCAACAGAAAACAGTATATAACAATTTCTCATCTAAGAATAGGACATTGCAGGCTGAACTACCATATTCATAAAATGAAGTCTTTACAGTCCCTGCAGTGTGCATGTCAGATGGAACTACAAACACGTGAGTACATTCTGCAGGCCTACCCATTATACTTACAACTATGAAGAGAAACCTGGCCTCAAAAGCAAAGTCTGCAAAGTAAAGGATGAGGAGCCATGAGGGACCTGCAACTGACATGTGAATTCATAGAGGCAACCCACCTGAGGATCTGACCTGAGCATGCAAAACTGAACGCTAAGAAGAAGAAAAATGAAAGCCATCTGAATAGTAAAGAAAAAACTCAGGCAACCACTGCTTAAATGGAACCCTGGTACTTCCTAATTTAAAACTTAAAGGGCAGGAACTTTAATCAGAAACAAAAAAATCCCCTTATAGATTCTAGGGTCTTATTTTGGTGGGAATAAATTAATAAACACACAGCTACTTAACAAAAATGTCATAAACCGCAACTTCTTCTTCTTTTTATTCATCCAAGTGATGTAATTGCATTGGGCCCGTTTACAGCAAAGCTACAATATTTGAGCCTTTCGCCTGACATATTTGACTGCATGGAACATTTGTTGACTGAATTAACTTCCCAGATAAAAGGCAACTAATTAAGTTTACTCAAATCAGATGTGTTGGTGCCAAAAAGCTCAGATGTAGCAGCTAATAGTTAACAACAATATGATGTGCCAACTATCCTTTTAAGGGTAAATCTAAAGGAGGAAAAAGAATATCAGAATATGAATAATAGAATGAAATCAAATCAGCAGTAATACTACATTTGCTTGTTACATCCTCAGAATTCATAAGGTTGTTGAATGCCAGCAGATGAGCAATTGATGTAGTATTCTTCACTTGATTACATTCCATATACAAGACAAGAAATCATTATCTACAGGGACCACACTTTCAGCAGCAGTTATATAACAAATTTTTTTTTTTTTTAAAGTATGGTTATCTGCAACATCTGTAACAAAAGAATTGATCAGTGTCTCTTTCAATCATCAGATTGATATGGGTTTGTGATTTTTGCCTTATACATATTGTGGTTTCCCACTGTTATGGCTTTTTTTTCTTTAAAGTTTGTATAAACTGTTCTGTTGAATTAAGTACAATCTGCTGTGGACATTCTGTTTCTTTTTTTTAAACATCTACAATTTAGATGTTTGTTTTACATGTTTATACTTTCATGGATTGGAGTAGCGACAACATCACATTTTATTTTCAGCAGAAGATGATTGCCTACATTCAAAAGGCATTTTCCGTATCTTGTTCAAAGATCATTCTTTAGAATATTGAGAATAGCTGGAGACTATAAGAGGATGTAAAATAAATAGGATCCAGGAAGCTTCAAGAATTTACATTAACCTTATGCTTTGTTATGTGCTAAGACTGCTTCAGAATCCTAACAGTAGTTTGATAATGTATGACAAGAAGAAATATCAAAGAGAGTACTCGATGGTAAAAAAAAAAGCTGAAGATTCCTTAAAATAATTTGATAATCTGTGACAAGATCAAAAAGAAACATTAGTGAGAGTACTAGAAAGTAAACCAAAAAAAAAAAAAAAAAAAATGAAAGAAAGAAAGAAAGAAAAAAATGCAGAAAAGAAAAGAAAAATGTCTTTGCTTCCTGTATTTATTTATTGCTTTTTAAGGTGGTGTGGGGCAGGAGGTCTTAATCCTGAGGCCACATGGCTAGTGTAGTTGCCAGGGACTGTGCAAGTTAGGATTTGATTAAATAAAAGATCCGTCACTTTATCTGGGATTCGGACCTGGATCTCAGTCTGGAAGATGAAATAGTGGTGGTGGAGGAAATAATAGAGTCAGAAAAATGAGAACATTTATTAAACAGACTGATCTAGATTTGTCAGTGCTGATTTACAAAATTAAAGAGCAGCAAAAAGATTAGTCAGTGAGGAAATGGAATGTTTAAGAAATACTGCTGCACTAAACTAGACCAGGCAATAAAATAATGGGAAATCAATATCATTCAAGGAAATATCTTTAAATTAGATTGACTTTCATTCTAATATGTTCACAATGGCTGGATATAATATTGAAAGGATTAAAGAATGTCATCAGTAACCTTAGCATTTATATATGTTTGAGGAATTTTGTATTCAGCAGTTTGCCATTGCTTTCTGAATGGTTTGACACTCTAACCATTTTTGTATCAACATAGTATGATTTGCTGCCAAATTTTATGCAGATGACTTGAAACATGGTATGCTGGGATTATGAAATTGTGTTTAAATTTATTTAAACCACAGACACTCACAGACTGTATAGGTGTGTGAAATTTATAGAATCCTGAGACTTTCAATATGTTCTAGTCCTGCAAGAGATAGTGATGTTGATAGAGCTATTGTCCTTGTATCAAACTCACAAGTCACAGGTTTGGAAAAATATGAAATATTATTATGCATACATCACTAACTTTTGATTTCTGTTAATGCAACAGCAAAGCTGGGGCTAGGAGAAATGTTAGTGAGATTGTTTTGTTTTTAAAAAAGGAAAACATACAACACAGGTCAATACGTAGGCAGTTACGTGTGCACAGGTCTTTTTTTTTTTTTTTCTAGAATAATTGTACTGGTACTCGCCACACACTAAGTCGATGTGAACGCTTCGCTTCGTAATGCCGGGATGCCAGGTTCGATCCCAGCTGCGGGCAATGCGCCTTGTGTTGGTTTCGACAGTGGTATCAAGAAAGCCGACCGTCCAGAAAGCAATGGCAAACTACTGGATGTAAATTGCCTAGAGAAACCACACAAACAGCCAGGGGCTGTTATGGTTGGTTCTGCAACGTCCTGTAAAGGATACGCAACTAACTTTAACTCACCACACAATGTCTAAAGAAGTGATGGTACTACCTAAAAGTGTCTGCTACAGTAACGTTGAAAAAATGATGAAAAGAAGACTTACTGCATACCGTTTTGTTCCATTGTGTACCATCAGAAAAAAGTTTTGCCTATGAGGACGATTAGTATAAATAACTGTAAATTGTTACGAAGGATATTGAGCTGCTATTGGTGTCCTCAGAGTGCAGTAACAATGGTTTTATTACCAACTAGCAAACATTAATTTAAAAAAAAAAATATGTATGAATCTAGAAAAGTATGTTTTTGTAAAGTGTTGCTGTAAAGTGCACAAGCTAGTTACAGTCAGATTATACTTCTGTACCAGCGAAGCGATTTTCCTAGTTCAGCTTTTGTGATTTTCTTCCATTTTTTTAACATTCCAAAATGTATTGTTTGTTAAAATAAAAACAGATTGTGGAAGAATTTTTTTTTTCAAAAGTGTTTTCAGGGAGCGTCTCTGAAATAAATATTTTGACAAATTGAATTATCTTCACTGATTACTTGAGTATATTTTGTTTAAATTGCATTTTGACTCTGAAATTGGAGTGCATCGGCCTGAGAGGTAAGAAACCTGCAGTTTGCAAACAGATGAGATAAATCTGTGAAATTCATGTGCATGCAAAACTCATGTACTGGAACAAGACCAAAGTCCAAAAGTGGATGAACAGCCAGGACTTTCAGCCAGTGTATATAGCAGGTCTTCTTCTTCTTCTTCTTCACATTCACCAACTGTAAACTCTGGTGGAAAGTTCTGGTTGATCATCCAGGAGGGAAAGAATGGCATGGAGAGACTAAGCGAGAAGATGTTTAATTCTTTAGCATCATGACATGAAGGAACATGTATCAGAAATAATTTGCAGTACATGAGACAAAAGGTTGTAGACAAACATATGACCAGTAATGTACAACATGGACTATAGAAAGGAAGAACTATAAATGATTTTGTTACAGTCCAACCTGACAGTGTCAACCACTTAAGGCGATCTCAGATGTGATGAATTTGTTTTAAGAAGAACATTTTGTAATAGAGAAATTTATGTTAAGAAGAACACATTCTTGGGTCTCAGGGAGTTATCATTATCAGATCTGCAGTGTATACGAGAGGGCTTTAAATGAAAACCTTAAAAAAGTTCTAGACATTACAATAACCATGCTATAACTTCTAACATTTCAGTACATTTGTTAACTCTTTCAGGTGGTTTAGCATGAGAGGCCCAAGGAGTGGTAAAGAGAGACATGTAATCAGTGCATCTAGCGTTCTTTGGGCTTCTAGATAGTAACCTATGAAGGTATGATGCATTCCTTGGAACGAATGAGTTACGGAAATTAACATGTTAGGTGTGTGACATCACATTGCAGTGGAAACAATGACATCAAATTAACAGTTTAAAGATGGCCACCCCACTTTTGACATGCACCAGTGAGGAGCAGCATTCTATTATCTGTTGTTTGATTAGTTAAGAGGTGAGACTTGTATAGATATGCATCATTAAATGAAGGTCCAGGAAGGACATTGTCACTCACAGTCAGTTGGTGGTTTTTCCCCTACCAGTTTTTCAGCATAAAGGAAGCAAAGGAAGCAAACAAGAATGCGGTCAATATCGAGGCATCTCTCTTTTAAGCCATGTTGGCAAAATGTATGTCAAGATAATAGAAACAAGACTGAGACCAGTGATAGAACCACAGCTGGCAGAAGAACAGATGGATTTAGGAGAAATAGAAGCTGCACAGATGCAATCTTCACACTTAAACAGTTAATAGAAAAGAACATTGAATACAATCAGAACTTATTTGTGGCATTCGTAGACCAGGAGAAGGCATTTGACAGAGTCGACAGACAATTATTATGGAAAATAATGGCAAGATATGGAGTAAGCGAACACCTCATCGAAGTGTGCAAAAGTTTATACAGGGATTGTAGAAGTGTAGTTAGAATAAATCAGGGAACATCTCATCCTTTCACAGTGACATCTGGAGTAAGACAGGGGTGTGTCTTATCACCACTGCTGTTTATCACCTACATTGACAGTATATGCAAGAATGCCAAGCCCATGAATGAAGATCTTAGTAAGATCAACGAATTACTCTTTGCAGATGACCAGGCCTTGATAGCAGATACAGCCATGAAATTGCAACAACATCTAACATCCATGAATGAAGAATGTAAAACAAATAATATGAGAATCAACACTGAAAAGACAGAAGTAATGTCAATAGGAAAAAAGAAGACAGATCTAAAACATAACAATAGAATACAAAGGCATTAAACAGGCATCTGAGTTTAAATATCTGGGAACTACATTTACCGAAGATGGGAAATTGGATAAAGAAATTGACATTAGATGCAGTAAAGCAAACCAAGTATTGGGACAGCTAGCCCCCCTCTTACAGCATAAGACAATCCCAATCAGCACTAAGAGACATCTTATTCAAAGCATATTTATTCCAACTCTGTGCTACCAGTGCCAGACATGGTCACTCACAGCAAACCATAAAAGAAAATTAGTAACCACGGAAATGAGATGTCTGAGAAGGGCTGTAGGAGTGACCATAAGAGATAAGATCAGAAATGAGATCATAAGAGAACAAGTCGGCACAGAACCAATTCTGGATTACATACAAAGACAGCAAGTGAAATGGTTTGCCCACTTAGAGAGAATGCCTTGTGACACCATACCATACAAAGCATACATGGGAAGAGAAGAAGGACGTAGAGCACGGGGTAGACCAAGAACAAGATGGAAGGATAACATCAGAGAAACTCTACAACAGTACGATGTGCCTATGGTCCAGGCAGCCAGAAGAGCTAGAAACAGAACCTTATATCTCCCTCGACACCCACAGCGGTAAAAGAGGAAGCGAAGAGGAAGAAGAAGAAGAAGAAGTTTTTCAGCGGCTGCAGAAGTCTCTGGAGTTGCAACATAGTGTGCCTGATCTGGTCGTGAACATTCTGTCATAGAAGTCACACCGT